TTATTATTAGGAAATTATAATTTACAAACGCAGAAAAAAATTTTTATTAAACATTGTTTTTGATGTTGTTATTAAGAATATATTCTAGTATTCTTTAGTTGATATTAAACAATTTATAATTCATGTTACATATAGGCCGCGATTCACGCTTACAACGCTTAAAAATCATTTCATCCTTGTTCTTTATCAAATATTAAACGAAGATAAACGATGCTCACAAGCGTTGTCAGCAATTGGATCATGTCCATAGATATATTAGATTATATTAGATTTTCAATATCGGCAGTAAGTATAATAGCCTAAGATACGAAGTGCAAAACATTTGTCGATATTTATATTTCTATTATAAAATATTTATAGCTAATTGTGAAAATAATGCGATCTATTGAATAGTTATGAAGATAATAAAAAATTAAAGTAATAATAAAAGTAACGACTTAATTTGTTATCGTTACAAATAGAAAACAAATAATGATCATTATCGAAAAAGTAATGAAAATTATAACAGTGTTACAAATAACATTACTTCCTAATCTTGCATAGTAGTATATAGATTAATTACATTATTAATTATAATTAATTATAATTATAATTATATTATTAATTATATAGATTAATAATTATATTATTATGACAAATTATAAACATAAACAAAATTTACTGGCTATCCGAATAATAATTATGACTTTAATCAAAATTGTGTAAAAGGAAATGAAAGCCAGTATTAGTTCTTGTTGCGAAACTAATCTACATATATCATTCTTTAATTATCAGAAAAACAATAAATGTTTCGATTTTTATTATAATATGATTCAATATGACTCAAATATAATACGACTTAATATTTAAATATCATTGAATACATATATAAAAATACAATCGCAAAAAAGGTTCTACAAAATCGCATTAATTTTTTATCATTGTGTGATTGAATTAAAACAGTTGTTATCAGTATTCAATATACTTGCGGCCTATGCGTGCAAAAACTATCTTTAAGTATTGAGTCTTAATAATAATAATTCGGACTCTCAAATATTTAAAAAAATTAAAGAGAGAACGACTGATACGAGGATACACTATCTACGTCAAGAACGCAGATGGTGTAGCGTGATAAATAAAACAAATTTTACAACATTTAATATATATTCTTCACTTAACGTTTCGGTTCTTTATTTGAACCATCTTCAGAATGTTTCAAAGTGATGATAAGCGTCAAACCATATAGGTAGATTAATTGAGAGAAGATGGATTTTATTATCGATCAAGTGAAAACTCCCTGGCTAAGAAAAACTACCAGAATTTAGAATTAATCAGAAAGTCCAAATCTCAAGCATGATAAAGAGCTAATAACAAAAAAAGACTCACCCTGATCCACAATTTACAGAGATATATAAAGATATATATTCATTGGTTCCGTTCAATAAAAATTATATTTAGTAAAAAATTTCAAGCAATAAAAGTTAAAATATGGTATTATGTCTAGTTACTGTGACAGTCCGCTTATAAATAACAAAGAACTAAGTGTCGCAGGTCAAACAAGAGACATAAAATATATAAATATATGTATGAAAAATGTTATAATTCTTCGATAATAGATAAGTGGTGTAAACAATCTATGTCCGATTATAAATTTAAACCTGATTGATTTGCTGTAATATGTAGCACTTCTGCGAATTTTTTTATTATAACATTTTTCACAATCAAATACTTTAACATTATTCCAGTCAAAATCATGGTCATATGAATCCTATTCGGTCAGTGATGACCAAATGTGTTATATTTCTATTTATGTATCTAATATATTCCAATATGAAGTTATTTATTGGTCTGCCCTACATAAGATGCATTACATTTAAACATGAAATTTTATATATTAATTTTATATATTATATTGTTATTTTCATTTAGTGTCCTTAATAAATTTATGTAATTTATTTAACTATGAAAGACCATAAAATTAAAATTCTTAAATATGAATTTCTCAGAGCAAATAGAAGATAAGGCATCACAAGGAACTACTTGTGGTCGACTATATGTTATTATTATTATTATTTTATTTTTCGTTCTGTAAAAAAATCTTTATTAAAAAGATATCTAAGACGTTTTTTAATTGTTTCAAATATGTATTTTAAAGAGTATTCGTTTTCTGAAAAAAAACATATGATATAATTAAAATTTTTCTCGTGAAATCTAGAATGTGAATAAAGGAAAGTGTGTCCAGGCTTATTATCATGTCCCCTTTTAGAAATCTGGATGCTAGATAAATAATTCAGATGGTTTATGATACCAATCGAATTCACTTATCTCTTTCGTAATAATGATAGTTGTGTCCAAAAAATTAAGTTTTTGACCACCTATTTCCATGGTAAATTGTAATCTCCTATTGAAGGAATTGAAAAATCTGAATGCAATCGACTTTGTCAATCGGTATAGTCATGGTAATATCATCTACCTATTTATAATAGAAAAGTATCTGAAAATGAATTGTCTTAGCCCCCCCTTCTCCCCCCTCCATCCCAGATCTCAAGGTTCTACAACATCAAATCCGCAATTATCGGTGACAAGGGAATTCATAGATATTCCGAAATTTTGTTTGTAAAACTTCAAATTTAAAGTAAGTAGAATTTAATATGAGTTGAATAGCGTCAATAAATTCTTTTTTGAGAATATTACTTGTTAGCCATGTGAGTCCATTTTATGGAAATGCTATTAATAGCTAGATCGATAGGAACATTCGTAAAGAGGAAAACTACATCCAAAGAAACCAAAACATATTTTACGTCTCTTGTTTGACCTGCGACACTTAGTCATAGTCACTTCTTTGTCATAAGCGGACTGTCACAGAAACTAGACATAATACTACATTTTAACTTTTATTGCTTTAAACTTTTTACTAAATGTAATTTTACTAAATGTAATTGAACGAATATATTTTTGTTACATCTCTGTAAATTAGATCTCTGTAAAGAAGATCTTAAGGTGAGTCTCTTTTTGTGTTATTAACTCTTTATCTCATCTCATTTTGCTAAGAAAAATTGTTTGAATTATAGTGATATTCATGCTTGAGATTTGGATTTTCTGATTAATATTCTAAATTCTGGCATCTCCTTAGCCATAGTTTTCACTCTTGAGATCGATAATAAAATCCATTCTTCTTTCAATTGATCTATCTATATGGTTTGACACTTATCATCATTTTGGATTATTCTGAAGATGGTTCAAATAATGAACCAAAAGTACACTACTTATATGTTGTAAAATTTGTTTTATTTATCACACTATACCATCTGTGTCCTTGACTTGTACTAGCCATTTTCTCTTTAATTTCATGTATTGAATATTGTTTTCCAGGAGAAGAAACTTTCTTCGATAATCGTGATTATTTAGCATAATCATGATTATTTAGCATAAAAGTCACAAATCCTATGAATTATTAATTTAACTTCAAATATTAAACTATTTAGTATAGCTATAATAAAACATAAGTCATAAAAATATAAAAATTATAAGTATCGAAAAAAAATGTCTTTAGAAATTTTAAAGTCAAAGTCAAAATTTATATTTAATAGTAAAATACCTCATCAAAAGTAAAATACCTATGTGTCTGACATGATCTGATTATAACTATCTTTTCTATCTTTTCTCAAGTTTTTTTATTATAAAAGTAATGATCTGGAGTCGAAACGTTAGTTTAAAGTAGGCATATTTTTATTTTTATTTAATGTTATTTGTATCATATTACATCATATTAAATTTGTTATTTTGGTTCATAACCCTTCCTAATACAATTTCTTTTATAAAAGTAATCATCGGTGACAGAAGAAGCACAATGATCTAACGAAATGTTTGTTTAGATAATTCAACATTTGTATAGATAGAAAGAACTATTCAGGGAAGGAGGATTCCCTCTAGAATTCGTGGAGTGGACATACTTTCAAGGACAGGGAAATAAATATTCGATAATTTAGTATCACTTTGCCTTTAATCCATAATTTGATTTTTTTTCTTATATACGTGATTTCATGTAATATGAAGGTTCTATATCTAAGATTGCGACTGATTGTCTCAAAATCATGTTTTATTGATTTAGATTATTAATGTTTAATTAATCACATAGAGAGAGAGAGAGAGAGAGAGAGAGAGAGAGAGAGAGAGAGAGAGAGAGAGAGAGAGGAGGAGGAGGAGGATTGACATAATTTTGTAGAAGCTTTTTGCGAATGTATTTTTATATATGTATTTTGAATGATAAGCCCACAAAAAAGTACCCTGTGCTGGAGTGGAGATCCAGCTATTCTTATGTATTTTGAATCGCTGAATATGAATCTGACATAAAAATAGGACTTTCCGAGGCAAATTTTCAATCTAGAGCAAAAAAATGGGTTAAAAATAGGTTATTTTTTTCGCTTTAGATTGAAAATTTATTCTGGATGATCCTATTTTGATGTTCAGATTCATATTCAACGACTCAAAATACATAAGAATTGCTGGTCTCCAACACACAGTATTTTTTTTGTGAGTCTGTGTAATTTTTTATATTGAAATTGATCTAATAATAAAAATCGAAATATTTATTGTTTTTCTGAAAATGAAAGAATGGTACTTCGCAACAAAAACCAGTGTTGATTTTCGTGCTCCTATTGTTACACAATTTTGATTTATTCATAAAGCCTTTATTATTAGTTTTTTATAGCTTTATAGATCAAGTTTTTCTCATTTAATGGTTATTTTTGACCTGATGATCAAGATAAAAAAATTGTTTTTTGAAAATCATTAGCGGGCCAAAAATGATCTTATTAATCCTTCTCTCTTTTGCAAATTGTAATGTAATAGAGAAATTTGTGTGGGAGATATCATATTAACGCTCAAAAAAATGGGAAATAATTATTCGTATTCTTGTATTTGAAAAAAATAATTTTTTATTAATATAGTAAGTTATAGTTTTATTAATATCATTTTTACTTAATAATTATTAAATAAACGTTATTAATTATTTTTGTTAGGTTGGTAACTGTAGATGATGTATTAACGTCATCTGCTTATCCAAGAATAGAAAAAATAAGACCTGTTTCTGGAAAAAACTGCATCTATTGCGGAATATTTAATGTACATTGGATTGTAACAGAACATGATAGAATACCACATGATACAAGTTACTTTTGCAATAGATGTTTCATATCTTATAACTATGTCGACGGCAAAAAAGTTGGAAATTTCAAAGCATATAGTTATCCTTGTATACCACAATTAATGTCGATAATAAGAAGACCTAAGAAATCTTAAACTTTTATATATGTATCCGTCATATGTATGTGTATAAATATATTTGAAATACATATTAGTATATATATTTAATGTAAAATATTAGTGTAACAAAGTTATTTTATTTGATCCTTTTAATGTATACAATCTTTGCAAGTTGTCTTTTGCACTGTATAAATCCGGCTTTAATTGTAGTGCTTTCTTATACATCTCCTCTGCAGCATTTAATTTATTCCAACGATGATATAAGACACCTAAATAAAATATTTCTGATTTTATATATCTTAAATTATTCATATCTTATGCATAATTAAAAATTAGTGTTGTCATATTAGTTTGAAGAAATTGTCGAGGTAATTATGTACAGACAAATTATGTTTAGACAAATTGTTATAGCTGCACTTATTTTAAAAATTCAGAAAAAGTTTTTTATCAATACGTCTTTTCTTTGGCTTTCTTACATCAAAACTTAATTTTTGAAAAACTTTAAATCTATTAAGGATTGAGGGGAGTGACAAGCTCTAACTCATACACCTCATTTACGGTGTAACTACATATCTACACTCTATAAAATTCTACCATATATTATCTTGTAGAAGAAATCTTTTACCGTAAAACTTGTTTTGACTTTTTATGAAACTACGAGGCCTGCTAAACAAAATTTTGGAATTTCGCTCTTAAGACTCCTTAGTCCTTGACTGAATTGAGAGAACTCTGCGTTGACGGTAGGACACAGAATCAGACGGCAGTCTGGTGAAACCGGTAGTCACACACTTAAGCACAAATCTATGTCCGTGTGCTTGTCTGCGGCACGTCGAGAGTGAACGAGACAGTGAGTTTCTTCTCAAACTAATCACTTGTTTCAAGCGAAATTTCTCGGCAATCTCGGCCGCTCGGCGGCCCTAGGCATCAATAGGAGCGGTGAACATTCTAAATAACATATAAGTTTTAATAAATAGTGTACTCCTCCTATTAATCCAAAATAGTATAAATTATGTTAAAACGCAATAGTTTACGTTTATGTTTAATTGTTTATGATTTTTCATTTTTACGCGTTATATATAGTATACCTCTCCTTCATAAATTCGAGTAGCAAGAATAGTTCAGTAGAACTAGAATTTTAACCGGAAAAAAATTATAAACCATCATTTCTCTTCACGAAAGTTTCGAAAGACCATCAGAAAAAAAATGTGTATGTTTGAGACTCGAGACTTGTGAAGAAAATATACGAAAAAAAATCATATAATTGCAAAAAGCACGTTTTTTGCTTATAAAATGAAAGATATTGATTGTATGAAATTGATATTAAAAAATGTAGGTATTCGAAATATTTACAAAATGAGACGTGGAACATTAAAATCGATCTATTAGTTCAATAGAAAAAAAAATAAAAAATACCGAAAATGGTCTTTTTCACTTGCTCTCTGTTCATTGAGATTTAAACGCCAAGTTTTGAAATTCTCGTAAAATGTAGCCCTCATAATGACGAACAAATCTAGCCCTGAACAAACCTGAAATTTTCATTTGTTTTTACAAAAAGCCATTTGTTCACTTGTCTGCGGAAAACTTAATTTCTTCATCTTTGAGTAGTCGCATAGTAATTTACAGGGATTTTTCTTCTTCAAGAGTTGCACTATCATGTAGTTGCATTATCACACTTAACAAAACATTCTTTGCAGTTAAACTATTATAAAATGTTTTTAAAAAATAGATATCTTTTTTCGTATAAAAAAATGGAAATAATTTTGTTACTATGCATCATATCAATTAGCTGTGTGAAGTATTCGAAATCTGACATTTTTCTACGTATTTAAAAAAAAAAGATTACTCTTCGATTATTAGGAGCCGAGATAACAATTTTTTTTTCAAAAAATCACTGTAGCTCTAGTTTTTAAAATTAAGAGTTTCGTCTAGCACCAATTTATCGAGGAAAAATTGAATTTGCTTAAAAAAATCTCGAATTGTAATCAATGAAATTTTAGTTTTTAGAAAATTTTTTCTTTCTTGAATTTTTATTTTTTTGATTTATTATTAAAAAAATCACGTTTGAGTATGGAACGCCTGATTAACAAATTTAAATCACATTAATTATTTAATATGCTGTAAAAAGTCCAATTGGATAATTAAATGTACGGAATTATCAGTTATTCACAAAATTGTTTTTGTGAATTTAATTGCAGATGCAAATATGATATATATAAATAAAGAATTAATAATTTGCCAAATGTTAGTGTAAATAAAGAAACATAGCTAATGTGATTTAAATTTGTTAATCAGACATGCACTCCATACTCAAACGTGATTTTTTAATACAATAATAAACCGAAAAAATAAAAATTCAAGAAAAAAAAATTAAAAATTTCATGGTTACAATTACTTTGCGAAACATTTGGTTAAGCTATTTGTTTATATTAGGTGTAGTAAAAAGAAATCCATTATTTTTGCATGAAATTGAATGGAAAAATAATGGATTTCTTTTTACTACACCTAATATCTCGTCGAGCTACTCCAGATAAAAAAAAAATCAGATTTCTACGTCAATTTATTGCTGCGAAAATGTAAATTTAGCAAATTGATGCATCAAATATTGCGCGAATTGCCGAGCGGATCGATCTTCCTTCTCTCCGCCCAGCGCAATGTCTCGTTCGCGTTCTTCAACTTTCCAATGGTTTTAAACAAATTTTTTCGGCAGTAAAAAATTCGAGAATTTTTCAACAGCAAATTCAATTCCTCCTTGACAAATTGGTGCTAGACGGAATTCTTAATCTTAAAAACTAGATCCACAGTGATTTTTTCGAAAAAAATTGTTATCTTGGCTCCTAATAATCAGAGGGTAATCTTTTTTTTAAATTCATAGAAAAATGTCAGATTTCGAATGCTTCACATGGCTATTTAATATACCGTGACATATTAATGAAATTATTTTTTTATATGAAAAAAAATATCCTCTTTTTAAAGGCGTTTTATAATAGTTTAATTGCAAAAAATCGTTTTGTTATTAAATGTATGTGATAGTGCAATTCTTGAAGAAGAAAAATCATCTCTGTAAACTGCTACATTTCTGTAAACGCTTGTGCGACTGCTCAAAGATGAAGAAATTAAGTTTTCCGCAGATAGATTTGAACAAATGGCAAAAACTAATGAACATTTCAGGTTTGTTCAGGGATTTGTCATTATGAAGATTACATTTTACGAGAATTTCAAAGCTTTGCGTTTCTCAATGAACAGAGAGCAAGTGAACAAAAGGATTTTTTCACCAAGATTTTTTTTTTATTTTTTGCTACTAAACTAATAGATCGATTTTAATGTTTCATGTCTCATTTTGTAATTGTTTCGAGTATCTACATTTTTTTATACACTCGATTTTTTTTCAATCAATCTTTCGTTTTATAAGCGAATAACGCTTTTTGCAACTATTCAATTTTTTTTGCGCATATTTTCTTTATAAGTCTCAAGTCTCGAACATACGCATTTCTTTTTTGATGACTTCGAGATTTTCGTAAAAAGAAATGCTGGTTTATAATTTTTTTCCGATAAAATTCTACTTCTACTGAATTATTCTTGCTACTCGAGTTTATGAAGGGGAGGTATACTATATATAACTCGCATGAAAAATCGTAAACAATTATCTCGTAAACTGTTGCGTTTAACATAATTTATACTATTCTGGATTAAGAGGAGGTATACACTATTACTAATTTATTAAAACTTATGTTATTTAGAATCTCTCCCGCCCCTTATTGATGCCTAGGGCCGCTGAGCGACCGAGAAAGCATTTTCGGTCGCTTGAAACAAGCGATTAATATGAGGAGCTCGCTGTCTCGCGTCGCAGGCGTGCACACTCATGCTTGTTTGTTAACAGCGTATCACGACAAATAGTCAAACTTATAGGCATGAAAAAATGACGTTTTGAAATTTATGTTGCGTGCCTTTTCGTTATTATTTGCTTAATTGTGAAAATGTAACTTGTCTCGTACTTATCAAAGTCGTAATTATCAATGAAAACTAAAATTATCTTGGAATTTTATATGTAAGCGTATATTTTACTTGTTTCAACTGCTCGGATCGTGTGTTTTTACGTGTGTGAATATACGTGTTCACTTTACGTGCCTTTTACGATCATTTACTGATTCAAGGGAAGAAAGGGCAGTTTTCATCAATTTTTACAAGTATTTTAAAGTGATCTCGTTATTTCATTTCATTCAAATTGTCTTTATTTAAAAATAGCACGCAACATAAATTAACATGTCATTCCTCGCTTCTGACGTCACAATTCCAACATGGCTGCCGCAACTAGTTAGGAGTCTTATAATAAATATGCTTCTTATTCGCGATGCAGATACATGTTTTTATGCTGATATTTATCTCTTAGAAGTAATATTACATTAGATCTTTTTGACTTGTTATTTTATGAAGACGCGAAGGCGCATATACAATACATCGAAAAAAAATTTACGAAATTTGAATAAATATTAAATATTTAGATAGTACCAATGGGACCATTGCTTATAGAAAATAAATATTTATTCGATTTAACAAATGATACCTAAATTTAATTTTTTTGAATTTAACAAATATTTATGTATTGTAAATAAATGGCTTCATTGATACTATCTATCTTAATAAATATTTATTCAAATTTTGTGAATTTTTTTTCAGTGTAGAGTCAGATCGAATTGACCCTTGCAAAATTATAATAAATAATATTATGTACTATAATTTCAACTGTATTATAACACACATCGGATGAAATCAGAATGAATTTTTATTGTCTTTTTTTATTAAAAAAATCGCTCTGTAGCTAACTTTCTTGATATATCGTTAATGAAATGCTATTCATATCTTAGCCGTAATGTCAACATAAAGAAATTTGTCTCAGATTGTGGAACATTGATTTTGTCGTTGGCTTGCGAAGCATCATTTTTTTTAAAGTATTTTTTTTCTAAAGTAGTTTTTTTTCTAAAGTTTTTTGACACTGAAAACGATGTTGTTTTCAGAATTTGCTCATCACCTCACATTTTTGAGAAAATTGAG